TGTTCCCGCTTATTACATGGCCACATTCTCAACAAAGTAACGACATGACTCCCAATATTAATTGAAATGCTTTTATGGATTTAGAAAACGATTTTATTGATTTAAAAAATAGTTGTATGTATTGATTTAAATGTACATGCATCCGCTAAGAAAAATAGTCCGTTGTTACCGTTGAAACTTTGAACTAACGTAGCAACGTCAGGAACTGCTTCGATAGCGTTTTTGAGGAGCTTTTTGATTACAGATTTGAAAACATCATTGCTTGCTTTAAAAGTAGCACAATTCATTATGTCAAACCTTGGAAAGTATCTAGATATCCCTGCCCTAATGCCAAAGTAACTGGCAACTGAATTTGTGTCGCTGTTTGATGTCTATGTCTGGAAAAAAGGCTGCGTAAAAAAGAGGGTTTCTGCCCCATTACTTCTCTTCTAACTTCAATAAGAATAAAACACGGAGGACGGAGATCTCTTTTTCTCCCCCTCTTCCGAGAGCCCAGCAGCTGATCTCAAAGCACGCTCCCCTCTCCCGCAGGGGGGCGAGGTCAGCTGCAGCTCACAGAATCAGCCCCCTGCAAAAACAGGGCTGGAAAGAGCAAATAGAGCGAAATGAGGCATGGCTAAAATGCAGGATCTGTTTGGTATTTTGAAAAAAAAACTATATTTATATACTTTATATAGGTATGGCTCTACAATATATTGTTCAAATATAGCATGATATGTCCCCTTTAATTAACTAATTAAATAGTTTAGCGACGCAACATGATGATGTCTTCAATAATAACCAAACATATACTTGGGTGGAATTTATTTGTATTTTTTACTGACAGTCTTGTTTACATTATAATTACTAACACGTTATAGGAAACCTTCAGGGAAATTACGCACCATTACAATTAGACATTTTCTCTTTGCTGAGGTAACAAGTACAGGATTTGTTGACTCATTGATCTCATCATGTCCTAGTGTAATAACCTTTCTGCATTTTATAACCCTGCCATTGGCATCTCTTGATTCGTAACCCATTGATTCTACATAAAATGTCAAAGTTCAAAGCTTGTACAAATCTCTCAATGCGTTTCTTATGCCAGTTCTGGCCCTTTTTGTTCCAAACTAATTACTGTAACAAAAACACTCAGACAAATGAAAATGTTGTAGCATGCTGTTTAAACCTCTGATTAAGTTGCTGCGGCTACATGCAGAACCACCAGCCTCCCTCCCGGTCATGAGTTTCAATCTGAGGACGGAAGAAAAACTCAACACATTAAAGAAAGCACAAATCTGAAGTCCGCTCACGTAGCGCTCCTTAATGTTCTTAACCACTTGAGCGAATGTAGCAATCTCCATTAGACTTAAAAGAAAGTCCCTCAAAGGCAACATTTTAAATTACTGTGACTATCTGAGGCGGAGATTCTTTAGTGTTGTTTTGTAACCTTCATTTAGCCGAGCACATTACACTGTGGCCCCTCCAGTAGATGAGATGGGGATTAATAATCTGCTTTAATAGTTTGATAGCTGAGTCTGCGGCTGGTGCTTTGTTGTGTGCACAGCGCAGCAAAGAACAATTTTCATTTATTTAACCTGGCAGGTCAATTAAGCATATATTGTTGCTACAGCTACACACAGATAATCCCCTCAAGGGCTGAGAGCTAGGATTTAAAGCAAATATTTATAGAGAGCAGATGGAGAGAGATAAATTAACTGTTGAGCCTGATGGAGGTGTTATTAATTTAATCTTTTGCAAAGGCTAGACCTTATTTACATCACCCAATAAAAAATATACTCTTACCTACCATTCATATGACAGTAATTGATATTTGAATCCTTTACTTACACATGGGGAATCACTGAGAACCAGCCCACGTAAAGGCCTGTACTCACATAGCGTCATTTTTCAATTATTTCCAATGAAGATTGAGCGCATACTGCCTCGAGAAGAAATGCTGCACCCAGCACTCTGCTCGATTTGCATTGCTCCGGGTGCTTCAAATTAAAACTATTTCGCTTTTTTAGAAAAGTGTCAGTGAGGTAATTGTAGAAATTGGAGGAAAAGCTTGACAGTGTCTTTAAGACTTGAAACTATCATAACAATGAAAGAAAAGCCCATTTATACGGGAGGATACGCCGGGTGGACACTGGATGTTGCTGCCGGTGAGTGTCTGACTTTTCGTCCTCGCTCTACGCTCGTTTAGACTCATGCATTCATACCAAGTGTGAGAGCAAGCGTCTTCCAGTTGGATAATGGTAAAATAACCATGTCAAACAAATATATAGTAGCATGAACAGAAAATAAAGGGGGTGCGGCGGCTCAATCCCCAGTTGAGTTTGAGTCGCCGAGAGGCTAAACTTGGCTATAAACTGTGATGCGTTTTCGAAGAGAAAGTCCATATTGAAGCAATATAGTTTTAAGGATATTTAATAAACAAAATCGAAACATAGTAACTATGGACAAAACGGTCAACAGAAAAAATGACATCACAAGCTCACCCTCTGTCATGCCACTCGACATGAAACAGGTGACTTAAATAGACAAACCACACCCATGTGACAATTACCGGAAGTGCTCAACAAACAAATAAAAGTGACGTAAACAAATAATAATAATAATACAAATAATGAACCTGGGCTAAGTAGCATTATGGCACCTACAGGGGGTGAAGCAAGTCTGTCATACAACAGCGGTGATACGTTGTCAAAGAAACTATAAAAACAGCCTTTCTGCCGGCGATATGTGGACATCAAGAAAATAAGTCCACACAGTTCTGGAATTGAATCTCCTGCATTCATTTGACTGTTTGTTTCTGCAGCGGAGAACTGCTCGGGGTACAGGACCTGCGGTCAGTGTCTGGACCAGCCGGGCTGCGGTTGGTGCACCGACCACAACAACACGGGCAGGGGTCAGTGCATCGAGGGCTCGTACCGCGGGCCCTTCCTGACCGCGGTGCCGGCCCCCTCCACCCTGCCCGGCCTGCCCGCCAGCCCCCAGCCCGCCCTCAACGCCAGCATGTGCCCCAACGAGGCCAAATACAACTGGTCCTTCATCCACTGCCCAGGTACGGGAGCACAACTCTTTCTATGTTATAATCTGATGAATAAATGTCCACTGGCCAACTCAGTGGACATTTTTAAACGACAGCTAAAGACATCTTTTTAGATTAGCAACCCCCCACTTTAAATGTTATTTTAGTCTTTATTATTTACCTACCTTTATATTGTTTTACTTATTTTATAGGTCTCTTTTTATTTGTTACTTCTGTTTTACCTATATGTTCACTTTGTTTTATGGGGTTTTATGTTTTATATAGTTGTCTTACCTGTCAGAGAGAAACCATTGTTTGTTTTGTTTCGTTTTATTTGTGTTGGCCTGGTCAGATGCGGTATGTTTCGCTGCATATACAGTGGGGGAAAAAAGTATTTAGTCAGCCACTAATTGTGCAAGTTCTCCCAC